CTTAGAGGCCAGGAGAGCTTGGAGTGAAGTGCTCCAAGGAGCGAAGCACCACGCTCCAAGCTCTACAAGAAAACAACCTCCAGCCTTGTAAAACTACCTTTCAAAATTGATAAAGAAATAGGTATCTACATCAGAAAGAGCACCTTAAGAAATTCATGACCACCAATCCAGCACTACAAAAACATTCTCAAGGATATTCTAGAAAGATGATGAGGCCAATAATGCCAAAAGTCTACTAGAATGAACACAGGAAGCAGAGTGAGCAGTCAAGTAGAAAAAGTAAAAAAATAAAATCATCAACAGGAAAATCAAGTAATGACAAAATAATTCAATACTTCTCAGCAATAATTTTTAATGTGAATGGTTTTTAATTCCCCAAGCAAAAGACACAGATTAGCAGAATGGATGAAGAAACAAAACCCAATGATAAGCTGTATCACATTTAATTCAAAAGAAACTCACAGACTAAAAATCAATAAATTCTACCCAGTGGGAACAATATTCCACCCAGTGGGAACATCAAGAAGAAGTAGCTATTCTGCTTTTTTTATTAATTTTATTGAGAAACAAATAGCAATGAGACAGTTTCAAAACTGATTAGTAAGACAGTTTCAATAATCAATACATTGCATATTGTTGTCTTCCTAGTGGTTATTCATAGTACAAGAAGCAGACATGATATCCTGTCCAAATACTATTAGTACAAATCTTTCTTCTCACTGAATTAAGAGAAAGTAGTTGTATACCTATCTATCCTAACTATTGTATATATACAGATACAAACTGGTCTTTCATTTGTATCCCCTTTTTTTTGTTTAGTTTTGTCAGAGACGGGTATACCATTGCCATTTAAATATTGTAGGTGCATGAATTCAGAAAAATAATCCAATATACTCTGCTTTTTAAACAAAGTAGACTTCAAGTCAAAACTGATCAGAAGAGGCACAGGTCACTATCTATTAGTTAAGTGAATAATTCAACAGGACAAGATAACAACTATAAACATATATGCATCAAACACTGATATACCCAACTTAATAAAATAAACCCTTATGGACATAAAATATCAGATAAACTTCATTGCAACTAGAGTGGGATAATTCAATGTACCACTGTCACAAATAGATTAACTAGACAAAAATTCAACAAAAAATCAGTTGACTCAAAACTTCAAATGGACTTAATAGATACCTACAGTGTTCTATGCAACAACAGAATACATTCTCTTCAGCAGCACAAATGATCTCCAAAATAAACCACACACTAGCACATAAAGCATGCTTCAGTTAATAAAAAATATTGACATTATACCATGCATGTGAGTAGATCACAGTGCAATGAAGCAAAATATCAATGGCAAAAGAAACTTCAGAAACTATGCTAAGGCATGAAATTAAACAATAATATTTTGCATAATAAATGAGTTACAAAAGACATTAGACAACTCATATAATCAAACAGTAATGCCAGTACAACATAGCAGAACTTACAGGACACAATGAAATCAATCTTAAGAGAGAAGTTTATAGCCATGACTGCTCATATCACAAAAATATAATGAGACCCTTATAATAACCTGGCAATGGGGCTGGGGAGATGGCTCAGTGGAATAAGCACTTCCCTGGCAAGTGCAAGGGTCTGAGTTCAATCCCCAGTTCCACAAAAGAAAAAAATAATAATCTGGCAATGCACCGCAAGGTCCTAGAAAAACATAATCCAATCCAAAGCCAGAACAAGGAAAAAAAAATGTTAAGGTCAAAGCAGAAATTAACAAAATTGAGACTAAAAATCAATACACAGAACCAATTAATCAAAGAGCAGTTCATCCAAAGAATAAAGAAAAATGACAAACTCTTAGCCAATTTTGCCACAAAAATGAAAAGCTCTAAATCAATACAATTACAAATGAAAAAAACCACAATATACACTGCCAAAATCCAGAAGATTATTAGTTACTTGAGAATGTATACTCCAATAGATTTGAGAATCTAAAAGAAACAGGTAAGATAACTAAATATATATGAATTACCAAAACTGAACCAGAAAATACAAAAACCTAAACAATCCAATAACAAGCAAAGAAATTGCAGCAATTAAAATAAAAAACTATTAACTAGAAAAATCCAAAATCTCATGGATTCACTGCTGAATTCTACATGAACTTTAAGGAAGATCTAATGCCTGTACTCCTTAATCTCTTCAACAAAATTGAAAGGGAAGGAATATTCCCAAAATCATTCATAGAAGTAGCATTATCCTGATTCCAAAACCAGAAAAGGAACCCCCTCCCCAAAAAAGAGAACTACAAGTTAAATTCTTTAATAAACACAGATGCAAGCGTTGTAAAGAAAATTACAAACACAATGCAACCAAGTGGTAAAAAGATACACCTTGACCAAGTAGGCTTATCCTAAGGATGTGGATACGGTTCAACATATGCAAATCAATAAATGTAATATATCACATAAGAGCAATGACAAAAATTACATGATCATCTCAAAAGATATAGAAAAGGCTTTTAAAGCTGGGCATGTTGGAGTACACCTGTAATCCCGGCCCTTGAAAGTCTGAGGCGGGAAGGTCACTGTGAGTTTGAGGCCAGCCTGATCTACATAGTAAGTTCAAGGTCAGCCTGAACTATATAGAAAGACTCTGTCTGGGAAAAATAAAAGGAGGAAAAGAACTTTTTAAAACTCCAACATGTACCCATGATAAAAACCTTGAAGAAAAATAGGAATAAAAGGATCTTATCTCAATATGATATAACTTATTTATGATCAGCCTACCAAATTTCATATTAATTGGAGAAAAACAAAGCTTTACCCTTATAATCAGGGACAAGATAGAAACATCAATTATCACCATTCCTACTTAAAACTTTAACCAGATCAATGAAACAAGAGGGGAAAAAAGGGAATACGGATAGGAAAAAAAAGTCAAATTACTTGCAAGCAACATGAAAAGACCCAAAAAGTTTCACCAAAGATTCCTAGAACTAATAAAGATCCAATTAAAAAATGGGCAACCAAAATGAACAGACATTTCTCAAAAGTACAAATGGTTGATAAGTGCATGAAAAAATATTCAACAACCTTGGTCATTAGAGAAATGAAAATTAAAATAATAATTTGATACCATCTTACTTCAGAAAGAATGTCTATCATAAAGAAATCAAACACCAGGGAGATAGTTCAGTGGCATAAGTGCCTGCCTGGCAATCTCAAGATCCTGAGTTCAAGTCCCAGTACAAAAAACAAACAAAAAAAAATGATATTGCATACCCATGTTTATGATAGCACAAATCATAATAGTTTAATTGGAAACACCCTATGTCCATCAACAGATGACCAGATAAAAATACAGTGTTTACATACAGCAGAACACCACTCTGCCATAGAGAGATAAACTTTAATCATCTGTAGAAAAATACACCCTGAGATTATAATGTTCAGTGAAATAAATCCATCAGTACACAAACTTAAATATCTCATGGTTTCTCTTGTATGAAAAACCCAAATTATAAAGCACATCGTTTCTCTTTTCTCTCTCAGAAACTCAATGTCTAAATAGATTAAAGAGCAAAATCAGTGACAGGAAAACAAGGGAAAAGGATCTTTTGTAAGTGGGAAGAGAACCAAGAGATGGAGGGGAGGTGGAGGGAAGAAAAATAAAAAGAAAAGATACAGTATGTGCATGTAGCAAGTCCCCGCGATGAATGTAATTATAAATTAATGCAAACATGTACTAATAAAAGCACAGAAAGCCGGGTGGTGGTGGCACATGGCCGTAATCCCAACACTCAGGAGGCTGAGGCAGGAGGATCGCTGAGAGCTCAAGGCCAACCTGAGCTACAAAGTGAATTCAAGGCTAGCCCGAATTGCACAGTAAGACCCTGCCTCACAGACAAAAAAAGAAGAGCGGGGGGGGGGGGGCCGAAGGGAGATGGAAGGAAGGGGATGAGGGGGACAAGGAGGGGAGGGATGAGGAGGGGAGTGGGGACGAGGGGGAGTGGGACGAGGAGGGGGAAAAGGGAGAAGGGAGGGGGAGGGCGAGGGGGGAAGAAGAAAGAGTAGCTGACATTCTCGCTCTGACAAAACATAAACCAAATAGAGCTAGAAAAGTCAGACTCAGCTCTATTTCCTGACTCCTGGGCAAGTTGCTACTGTTTTTACATAACATTTGATCATTTGAAAATTGGACTAAACACAGATACACTGTACCAAAGAATTTGGTTTCGGTCAGTGTATATAAGCTCCAACTTCAGCTAACCCTAGCATAATAGCTACTATAGTATATCCCTCAGATAAAGGGGCAGCTGCTTACATGCAACAAGGCCACCATTTCCTTCCTCTCCAAAACTCCGCAAGGCTATTGTCATCATTCACAACTGAGGGAAGAGAAGTGACAAGACATCATGCCAAAACACACCGCACTATTGGCCACAAGACCAAGAGGACACTTCCGAGACAGACCTGACCAGCGAGCATGCTTACATCTCATTGTCTTGCTCTGGCATTCCAACTGAACCCTCATGGTTCCACACTACCTCTGAGGTACCAGGAAGACGCCCAAGAAGAGCCGGGCATTCCAACTCAGAAGCCAATCCTGAGAAAGGAAGTTGCCCTGCCCTCTATTGGCTGAGAAAAGTATTATCTAACGGCGACCTGCCAACCACGGGCGCCGCGATTGGCCCATCGCTGACGCGCAGTCCGCCAAGGGGCGGAGCCTCGGCTGACATTTTGCGACTTGGTTTCCCAGCATCACTTGCAACAGAACAGGCAGGCCACTGCCCGGGCGAGGCAAGCGAGAGATTCCAAGGGTGAACCTAGAACTGTGGCGGAAGCTGCTCGCTCACTAAGCACGGCGCAGCCGGCCACCGAGAGGCCCCGCTCGCCTCAGTCTCGCCCACTGCTGGGCGCTAGCCTGTCACCACGCGCAGGCCTGCACGGCGCACGCCCGCGCGAAGGCCACCCCGAGCGCCCGCTGAGGCCCTCGTCGACATGATGAGCATCCGCGCTCCCAGCCCCGGGGCCCAGCCTGCGCCCTGGCCCCACTCGCAGCCCGGGGAACCGGGGACTGCCAAGCGACGCCGCCTGGAGGACCTCGCTGACTGCGAGGCCTGCGTCACGCCCGGCCTGGAAGACTCCGCTGCCTCGCCCGGGGCACCCGTGCCCGCCTCTGTGGTGATCCTGTCGGAGGACTGCACCCTGCAGGTGCCCCTGGACGGCTTCAGCCTGGTGGTGGAGGCCATGCCCGACTCGGTCCTGCAGGTGACCCTGGAAGACCACACTCTCATCCTGGTCCCGCAGGACCTCCTGGGCCCCGCGGACCAATCCTCGCAAGGGCAAAGCGGCTCTGCTGACGGGCTGGATGTAGGCGCCCTCCTGAGAACTCCGCGCGAGGACCACGTCGTGGTGGTGGTGGAGCAGCCGGGACTCGGTGTCTGCGTCCCAGAGATCGCCGGTGAGGAGGAGGTCTTAGAGTACGACGGGCCCGTGGAGTTGCTGCCCCTGCACGTGGGCCCTCCAGCCGGCTTCACTGCCGGGCTCCTGCTCCGACGTGCAGCGGCCCTGAGCCCTGACTCACAGGGCTCCCTCTCAGAGTCCTTCAGCCTTCTAGAAAGTTGCTCTCGCGGCCTCATCTTCGACCAGGACTTCCATCTGGTGAGACCCTTCCCCACCTCACCGCTGCAGCCTCTGCCTCCTTTTCCCAGCCCTGGTCCGCATGAGCGCCCCGTGCGCCTTCCAGGCCCTCATCGCAAAGCCAGGCGACGCCTGTTCCTGGATTAAATGGCCTCCCGCGATCCCTTGCCGCCATTCTGGGGTCAAAATGAAAATCTTCCCGTGGTTATTTTTTGTGAACTAAACAATCTACAAGGATACATAATGGACAGTTTTTTGATGTAGGTAACATTGCAGTTCTAAAGCAGTGGCAGTTTTAGCGTCTGAAGACTTTTCCGGTTAGTCAACGAAAGATTGGTGTGGCTCTTTGACATACAGCCAGCTTTCAGACCCAGGGACTACTACGCATTCCCTATCCACGTCATCGTTAAGAAGTTCGATTTCTCCGGAGTTTTGTCGTTAGTGTGGAGGTACTGGGATGTGTGTGTTTGTATGTCTGTTGTTTTTCGACAGAGAGCCTTCCTGTGGGGCTCAGCTACCCTTCAACTCACAGTGGAGCCCAGGCTGCTCGGAACTCTCATCAACACCCTGCCTCAGCCTCCCAGATTCTAGGATTACAGGCATGTGCCACCACACCCAGATTCCCCCCTAGTTTTGCGTCAGACATCCGATCCAGCACTTTTCTGTTACAACCCACCCTTCCTCCAACATCCTACAGGCGGACCTGTTTGTTTCTAAGTAGTTACTAAGTGTACTTTGTTTAATGGCACTTGGACTCTAGTCTGGACTACCTACCTTCTTATATGGACTTCACTTTTTCCTCAAGAAAGTTTCGCTCCCTTTAGGATATGTCACAAATAGCTGTACTATATCAATGTCTGTCATTTACACAATGGACAGAATTGGGAAAAATGATAATGCACCATCTTTGTTTTTCTTTAGTGATTTGGTTAGCAAAGAGCTTTTTTTAATGTATTTTAGACCCTGTACAGGGTCTCACTGTACAGCCCAGTCTTATAATGATCTTCCTGTTTTCAGCCTCCCCAGCGCGGGGATTACAGGCATGATGTGGGACTCCGTAGCCAATTTAGCGCTCCTGGGGGTGGGGCCGGCGGGGCATATGGTGCCAGAGATCGAACCCTGGTCCCTGCACTTTCCTGAGCAGGCGTTTAGTCCCCTGAGATATCTCGCCGGCCCTGCAAAGAAATACTATTGTTTTCACTTTTTTTTTCCCACAAGAAAATGTACTCTTTTCCATTCATTTCCTCTTGTATATAGTTCTTTGGTTCTGAACAAGTTTGTAATGCTTTATTTTCATGTTTTCACAGCTACAAGATTGGAGATTTATTTGTACATTGTTACTAGTGTAAAAAAATTCTTTTTATGTTGATCTGGTATCCAGCAAAATTGTTTTATGATTTATCTATAGATTCTTTTGGTTGGTAAGGACAATAATATCTCTAAAAATGAGAAATACAGTATTGTCTTTTCACAAGCATATCTTTCCTTAATTCGAATATGACATTAACAATATGGCTGATGGGGCTTTTCTATCTTATGTCTTGTGTTGACATTTCTAAATGTTATCATCAATTATGATTTTTATCGTATATTCTTTGTAGGTTAACTTTGATACCATTGCAGAAATTTATTTTTCAGTCATTATGATAATGAAAAGACTCAAGTTTCTGTAATTTTGTCTGGTTTTGTTTGCAGGGAATTGCCTAATTAGCTACAAAGACTATTAAAGTATTTAAAATGTTTGATTTAGTATCTGAATACTAAATTTATTTTAATTCTGTGTGTGTACATGTAATAGATACATAGAACTTTTGGGCCATTAGGATACACATAAAATCTTAGCAATAGTACACAAGACCAGTGTTAGAGCTACAAGGTTTTAAAAGTTGGATGTCCTTCTGAGGAGTTGAGAAGGGTGGAAGGAGTTATCTGCCAGATACCATTAAGGTTTTAAATGTTAAATTCTAATAATTTATCTTCTGTATGCATGACTTTTGGAGTATAATTTTTCATCAGTTCACATGGTGATTGGCACTTATTGAACTCCTTTTTTTTTTTTTTTTTTTTTTTTTTTTTTGGCGGAACCAGGGATTGAACTCAGGCCCTTGTGCTTGCCAGGGAAGTGCTTATTCCACTGAGCTATCTCCCCAGCCCCTGAACTCCTAATGACTAAGTATCTTTGCATATCTGCTCTTCCACATTATTTTATAAGGTTATACATAATTCCCCCTGAGTTGTATTTTGGGATTTTTTGGGTGGGGGGTACTTTTGGTTCACATGGGAGGTGTTGGATTTATGCACACCACTCTAATATTAAAATGTCTATTGTTTTTCCACTTGTCTCATATGTTCATAATAAAATAATAAAACTAAAATCAGAAAAGTGTTAATGTTTTCCTTTTGAACAGTGGAAATTGTTATTGAGATTTACCAAAATGTTTTAACAATTTCTATTTGCTTTCTATTCTTATATTCTAGTGCATTATTTATTCTCATTTGTCTTCTTATTATGGTACTTTTTAAAAGAATTCTTTCCTCCATAGTTGGAATGGTAAATCTTCATTTTATATATCTTCAGTTTTTTCAATTACACTTGCAAATTTGTGGGGCATTTTAGCTTTGTATAGAATTCTAAAATAATAACTATGACCTCACACTACTTTAAGAACATTGTTTTCCCCTCCATTTATTATACCAGATGAGAAGTCTTTCCATTTGTGTTGGAATTCCTTTTGTATAAAATTAAGGTCTAGCATTTTTCTTAACTTTAATAGTCTACAATTTCAACCTATTATGTTTATCTATAGAATTTTGCCCACTGCAACTCACAAAACTTTCTAAATCTGAAGAGGTAATTCTTTCTTAAAATTCCAATTGAAAAACATGAGTGAGCATCTCTCAGACCTTTGAACTTCAATTTTGGAATTCTCAGCAGAAATGTAGTAATGCTGTTTAATCAAGGCTCTCCTCCAAGCCTTTTATTTTCTTTCTTTCTTTTTTTTTTTTTTTTTTTTTTTGGCAGAACCAGGGATTGAACTCAGGCCCTTGTGCTTGCCAGGGAAGTGCTTATTCCACTGAGCCATCTCCCC